CATGACACAATTGAAATAATGCTCTCTATTGTCATTATAATAATGAGTATTAATGCTCTATGGTTACCAGGAAATTGTTGAGGTTTCCACTATTGCAGCACCTGATATATTGTCATGGAAACACATTCTATTGTCATGCAAAATAATGTTTAAATGGCATCATTAAATAAAATCTACCACTTATTAGCAATAAACTATAATCTCCTAATACCAGATGGCAGTGATATAACCAGTCAAGAAATGACATTATGTAAGAGCCTTCCTGATTGGCTGATGGTATCTTTTATGTTATTGGTTTACCCTGCTTTAGACATAAATTACATAAAACATATTCATTTAAATATTTCTTAAAAATCTAGTATAGCACTGTTGTCACCACCAGTCCTCCTCATTTCATTACAAATCCACAAAATAGTTCCGTTTATAATTTCCTTCGTAAAATTGTTGAAAAAAAAATTAACCAATTTTTTTTTAGTTTAAATTGAAAATTTACTCGAATTTTGTCTGTTAGCTCCAAAATTAGAGACTCATTTCCAGAAACATCGGAGAATATAAGAGAAAAGTGCAGAATAATTTGGGTAAGAAAGTCTGGTGGTGAAAAGGCTAAAGTTGTATTCTTGTTATGCAAATATGAGAAACATTACTCATAGAATAAGGTAAAAACAGGAAATTTTGTTCAAATAATGGGTAAAATAATACAATAAATGTAGATATCGTGCTTTACACATATTTCATTTTGAGATTACTGAAGGGTCTTATTCCTTAACCTTTACTGACCTTAAAGAACAAAGCCCCCTAACTCAGTGTCTATTGTTCATAAATCTCTGCTTAATTTAGAAGAGCCACTTAGATTCACATATTTCGTAGTTAATTTCGCATTATCCATCCGCAATCTCAACATTTGATGGTGTGTATATTAATCAGACGATTGTACATCTACGCCGAAGATTTGAAAAGTGTGAACACTAAATTAAAATCCATAGATACACTCGTAATGTAATTTGCAATACATTTGTATTACCATTTGGCAAACTGTCATTAGGACAAAAATGTGATATTTTCAAAACAGTTACAATTCTCAGTATTTCAGAAAATAACTGATGAATGTAATATGTTTATATTTATAGCACTTCCCAAATTATGTTGTAAATCTATTTCCATGACAACCTGACATGATTTAATCCAAATATTTGCTATAAATTTTGCTACATTTAAAATATACATGTATGCTAATTGTCATGGCAACTGAAATATTATGACATCAAATTCAAATATTTATTTTCTTCGACCAATGATGACATTGTTGAATTCATATCATTGATTACCATATTGGAAGTACTTCCGGGTTCTGGTATGACCTCTGACCCCATGTCATCATCGCCACCACCAGTGATTTGCATATCAATGAGATTTGGGTCCATATTTGCTGCAGGGTAAGTGTTTGGATCTTGTGAATAGTTGTCAGTAGACAGCGCCCCCATACCTTCAACCATGAATGTTTCATAACCTGCAGTGTTTGGTTGCTGTGGCAACTGACAAGTATTAACAGTACTGGAAACTTGATTATTATCAGGGGATGTTTCCATGGCAATTGCTTGCGTTGGTAACGGTGGCTGAGATTCGAATTGTGCGTTCATTTGATCAACGTACCTTGACGTTTGTTCATATATCTGCGCTTGTTCCTGTGTGTAGCACATTTGAGTTTGTTGCTGTGTCATAATAACTTGATTGTATTGTGTTTGTTCTAATGATGGTTGCTGCGGTGATGGTTGCTGCGGTGATGGTTGCTGTGGAGACAACTGGGCTGGATAGTTGTTATAACTTTGTTGTTGTCCAAATTGCTGTTGATATTGTTCTTTCTGCATTCGCATCTGTTGACGAATTCGTTGTTGTCTGCGTTGCCGCTGTTTTTCTTCTTGCTGTGTTATGAACATTGCTGCTTCATCCGGAAGAATCACATCACCATTTTCTTGCATTTCTGGCGCATCATCATTTTCCATGGACTCCATTGGAACATTTTCTGCTATGCTAGGAGGTCTTGGTGATGAGTAGCGGTAACCGATATCTGGTAAAGCTTTGAAAGGATTGATCTGAGAGGAGTTAAAGTTCCTGCTTGATGGCGGCATTGAACTCATACTGCTATAGCGGTTCAAATCAACTTTAATTGGCGTTCGTAATGCACGTACTGGATCACTAGCACGTCGCACATTAACACCAGGAACTTCATGCGGTAATGGAGTACGTGGTGGTAAACTAACGCCACCCTCACTGTCTCTTCTTGATCCCCACATAGGTGGTACCGGTGATGGAGCACAAGAATCGTCTCCCATTTGTTGATGTGTGGCTTGATAAAACTTTGCTTGTAGTCGTCTTTGCTGTGCAACGGTCAATCCTGGTAATCCAGTTGGTGCATTCATACCACTTATACCGCTAGATCTACGAGATGAACCCGGTGATATCGGATCATATGGAGATCCAAGTACACTTAAACGATTTGACGCCTGTGATGCTTCAGAACCACGTCGTCCTGCTGGGAATGGACTCGCTTCACTAGATCTACGACTTGAAAATTGACTAAACGGGAAAGGAGACGCTTCTGATGATCGACGACTGCTATAATACGAACTGATAGTACTTGTATTGCTGTCACGTCTGCGTCCCAAACTGTCGTACGATATACCGCTACCACAGCGACCGCTATCAGGAGGATTGGAACTTTCATGGAAACTTTTACGAGGAAGATTACGCCTGTTATTAACAGGTGCCGCTGAAATTGTAAAAATTTTGAATAAATTAGCACAGAGGCAGTGAATATATGATAATTTGCACCTGTCCCTTTC